ACATTTCAAGTATCTAGAAATACCTTAAAAAATTAAAAATCGATGTTAGAAACCCTTTTCGGCCAATTTCGGGACTTCAGTGTGGTAGTGCTGCCATGCTCCGGCGAGACATCGCCGCCTACGACGGCAGTTTGTCTCGGACTAGCCATTTTTGGACAGTTTCAGCCGATTTCGGTCGGTTTTGTACTCATTCCTACAAGAAAACATATTAAAGGATCTTGGTTGGCCGAAAAAGTCGAAAAACAAAGGCTTACCTGTGGCTGAATTTTTCGGTGCGGCGGCTCCCCCGGCTCACATTTGCGGTTGGGTGTTTACTTCGGTCAACCTGTAAAAAAAGAAATAGTGACTACAACAAGAGAAAATTGCACGAAACAGAAATCGGGAAGGGTCTCATTAGAGGCAATTTTTTATTTTTTCGCAGTAGTGCTGTCGGATTTTACCCACGATTTCTACCTCATTTGCCGGTTCTTTTGCTTCGATTTTGCCATGAGGGCGTTTAAAATTGAATTTCGAGCGAATAAAATTTTTTTTACCTTTTTTGGCAGTCGAAGGTGGCTCCGGCATGGTGGTAGGTGGCGGTCGGCTCCCTTCCTGGCGATTGGTTCTTCTTCTCCGGCAGGAGGCTGGCGGCTAGGGTTAAGGTTTGGTGTGAAGTGAAGTATTTATATATGTCTCTTTTTAATCTGGACCGTCTATCGCATTTGATTTGGACTGTCCGATCGCGTTTAAATAGGAAGTGAATCTGGACGTTCATCCCGATTTGATCTGAACCGTAGGATCGTATTTAAAGAGGAAACGGATCTAGACCGTTCATCGCGTTTGATTGCGACCATCCAATCGCGCATGAGAGGGAACGAATCCAGACCGTTCATGCACGCAGGAAGAAATCTGGACCGTCCGATCACGTTTAAATAGGAAGCGAATATGGACGTTCATCCCGATTTGATCTGAACCGTAGGATCGCATTTAAAGAGGAAATGGATCTACACTGTTCATCGCGTTTGTTTGCGACCATCCGATCGAGCCTGAGAGGGAACGAATCCAGACAGTCCGCGCACGCAAGAACAAATCTGGACCGTTCGATCACGGGCACGTGGATCGTCAGCGTGAGCTCCCGCGTGGTACCGCATCAGCGTGCCCCTCCACACGACACGATCCAGGTTGTCGGATCTGTTGATTGGGCGGTCCTACGTGGTACATCTTTTCTAAATTGCATTTTAACTCCCAGTTTTCGATTTTTTTTTTTCAAAAATACTCCAACAACTCAAATTTTCATTCATTTTTTTCAAAATTATTTTCAATTCCATCATTCACCTATTTTTTTTTTTCTAATTTTTATATCAAATAAAAATTCATGAATTAAAAAATAAAATTTTATACATTAATTTTAAATTTTTTTAAATTAATTAAGGGTATTACAAATACAATATATGATATAATTTTGAAAAAAACATCATTATATATCTAAATTAATTCCACGTTTATCTTCTTCTTTTTTTTTGTAGAAAAAGTAAATTTTATTAAGAAATAGCAAAAAGTTTGTACATTTCCACCAAATAAACACACTAATAAAATGATATAAGCCGAAAACGTCTCTAGCCCCCACGACTCAACAATTAAAAGCTACCAAACAGATTTCAAATGATTTTATGAGTTCTTTCTATTGGCAAGGAGACATATAATCATATCACCAAAAAGTTGAAGAATACACACACCCATATGGGAAATTAATTCAATTATTGTATAAATATGCAAATTATAATATACATTCAATAATTAAAATTTAAAAATTAAACATTAATATTACAAGTGGAGCCAATTGAAAAGCCACCAGCACCAGACTGACATGACTTGCAAAAGGACCAAGACCAAAGCTTCTGAATGATTATAGAAAAGGTTGCGGGGATTTATCAGCAATAGTTCTTGTTATTTCTATACGTAGGAACCACAAATTGATCATCTATATCATTATACATATACACATCTATATCCCCTTTGGTGATTATGGCCGAACGTTTTCGATCCAGAGTCTGTAACTCATACTCTCAATCGAGGGTGAAAGTATATATTACAAATTTAAATAATTGGTTCAAACCCGTACTATTAACCTAAATTTTTAAGATAATATGTTATATCAATTGTGAATAAATATAAATATAATATTTATTCATTATCAGTAATTTTGTATTTATTATAAATGATTAAATATTGACTTTATCGTATAGTCAAGTAGTAATAATACTAGCTACATTGCCCCCGAGTTGGATGTCGTGGGAGGCTTCATATTAAGCGACTATATAAAGATGTGTGTGTGTGTGTGTGTGTGTGTGTGTGTGTGTGTGTGTATAAGTTAAGTTCAGTAGCACATAAAGTGTGGTATTGAACTGCGGAAAGCATTGTGTGCATGGAGGCGACTTTAGGGTTGAGGAAAGGTGCATGGACGGCGGAGGAAGATGATCGACTCCGAAAGTGCATTGAGAAGCATGGAGAAGGAAAATGGCACCGAGTCCCACTCGCAGCAGGTTATATTATAATTATATATAAGTATATATTTATACAATCACATATATATATATATATATATCTGGGTTAATTGATTGAATGTTGCAGGTCTAAACAGATGCAGAAAGAGTTGTAGACTGAGGTGGTTGAATTATCTGAAACCAAATATCAATAGAGGAAAGTTCACTGCTGATGAAGTTGATCTCATGATACGAATGCATAAGCTTCTAGGAAACAGGCAAGTGAAGGACTTTCCTATACATACAAACATATAATATATACATATAGATATATATATATCACATATATAAGCTGCAATAAGCTGGAGAAAGATAGTGATGTCTCCACATAACTGGCTAGCAAGCAACTTAATTTAGAGAGAGAAATAATTAATGACAAAGACAATTCCCCAAACTCTCATATTTTCAAGAAACACTAAACATATATAACAGAACATGCATATATATATATATATATGTGTATGTATATGCATATCCATTTATAAGACACTTTACTCGAGTTTTATAGCCTTCATAGAAAACTTTTATACGTAATAGTAAGTTAACAACTTGTGTTCGGCACTTATCTCCTACTATATATCGAAAAAAAATTTCTATCAATTACTTTGCCAAATGAGTGAAGTACAATTTTCCTGTATAAGATGATTTCAAAGAATTAGTTCGACTAAAATAGTTTGAAAATAATTAAATAATTATTACATAATTGTATATGTTCAGGTGGTCACTAATTGCCGGCAGACTTCCTGGAAGAACAGCAAACGATGTGAAAAATTATTGGAATACTCATTTACGAAAAAAAGATTCGAAGTCTTTCCTTAATAAAGATATTGAGAAAGGCGTACATGTTATGAAAGTAGAAGCAGTAAAGCCTCGACCTCAAGTTCTCTCCAAAAATTTGGTGTTGCATGAAGACAAAGCTTCATTTACTATTGGTCATAGTCATGAACATCATACATCGAATCAAGACAATCTTCAATTTCAGGATTTAACGACTTTCGATGATCAAGTGGACAATGAGATTGCATGGTGGCAGAGCTTGCTAGATGGTAAACAAATGGAACACGAAACACACAACAACTCTTTAAGTACTTTTGAACCCAATTTAGATCACTTCATTCAGAAAAATTTCGACCATGTTGAAGTAAATAATATTGTGGTTGATGATAATTGTATGGTTATTCATAACGAAAAAGAAAAAGAAGAAAATGATTATATCTTGACAACTTTGGATGTGAACCTTTGGAATTTTCCAGAGATAATTAGAGATTAAGTATTGCTACTTAATCAATTAGTTAATTTAGTTTTAATAAAAGTAATTAGTTGTGATTGTCATATTATAAATTTTAATTATTTTTTAATTTACAATTGATAATTCATGCATATTGTGTAATAATCTCCTTATATATGTAATTAATAATCTGTACTTATATAAGTTCCATCATACTTTGATTAACTGTTATTGTAACGACCCCCGGAGATTCTAAAAGAAATAGATTATAAATTTAGTACGGAAGCGAAATAAATAGTTAGAGTTTATATTATTTACACAATAACTGAAAGTACCAAATAAAGATTATAGGAATAACCCTTCTAAAAAACAACTAATAACCAAGAAAATAAATTAAAAGTAAACAACTGAACGTTCTACTCACAATTTTTTTGTGGATCGGGTTTTGGATCCTAGTCATTTTAATATGAAATGGTTAATGAAAGAATAAACTACACTAACTTAGTAAAAATATCATGATACTCACCGATACAGAAATGAATGTTGGAAGAAATTATAAAAACAACTAGTTGAGCTCTTATTAAGTAAAATCGTTTATCATAAATAAAATCATTTACTGTTTACTAATTGTAGCGAGATTTACAAAAATAATCTATAGAGATAATAACATAACACATATCATAATTTCATATGCAATCGGTTGGAACAATAATTTTCTCTTTTATCAGCCTACTGCTATCCATGGGGGTCCATAGGAATGTCCCCACAATGTGTGAATAATTTCTTTTAACATTTTCAATTAACGAGCCATCCTCATACCCCGTCCAGTATGAGTGCCAAATTACTAAATCTCAATAACCCGTACGGTATGAGGGTAAAATGAGTTGTCTCCATATCCCGTCTGGTATGAGCAACAAATTACCAAATCTCGATACCTCGTCCGGTATGAGACAACGTTCAAGGTAGAGTTCCCTATGTATCTAGTTCATCCACCATCTCCCAGAATATCAAGTAATGCTGTTGTTTCATCCATTCACTAAATCAAATAATTTTTCAATTACCTTTAATTTTTAATTTCTCAATTCAATCATAATCACATAAAGCAAGCAATACATGCATTTAAAATATAAGATCAATCAATCAGGTATTATCAGGCATTCAAACTGTAAAATAAACCAATAGAATCAACAGTGAATAACTTCCGGTTCTGGCTCCATTAGTAACCTGTAATTAATTATAGATATTCTCTAAATTACATAAAATACTGTATTATTATTATTAATTAAACTTCAATTCTATAACAGAGAATAATGTGAGAGATTTTTACTCAAATTAATGCCTAAAATGCTAAACTTATTGACTGCGCCTACTAGCGGTCCTCGGGTTCCTTGAATTTTTCTTTGGAGATTAAAACGCACTTCAAGTACCTAAAAATATCTCAAAAAACTCAAAATCAGTGTTTCGACCCCTTTTTTGGCCAATTCTGGAATTCCAACACCGTGGCTCCACTGTGCTCCAGCGACGATACCGTCGCCTGGGGTGACGGTTTGCCTCGGGTCAGCTGTTTTCGACCGATTTTGTATCAATCCCTGTAAGAAAATACATTAAGAGGCATCGGTTGGCCGAAAAAAAATTGAAAAACTGAAACTCACCGGCAATGAAGTTCTTCGGTGCGACGGCTCTGCCGGCTTACCTTTATAGTTGGGTGTTTTACTTCAGTCAACCTGTAGAGAAAAAAATAGTGATTATAATGGTGAAAGAATTGCGTAGAACGGGAATCGGAAAGGGTCTCATCGGAGACGTTTTTTGTAATTTTTTATGGCGGCACCATCGAGCTTTGCCCGTGATTTTCGGCTAATCTGATGGTCTTTTTGCTCTGATTTGGCATTGTTGTATTTAAAATCAAATTTTAAGCAAAAGGAAAATTTTTTACTTCTTTTAGCAGTCGAAAGTGGCTCTGGCGCAGCGGCGAGCGGCTTCCTTCCTGGCGGCTGGCTCTTTTTCTCCGGCGAGGGTGTCTAGCGGCTAGAGTTAGGGTTTGGTGTGAAGAGAATTATTTATATTCGTCCCTTTTTAATCTGAACCATCCATCGCATTTAATCTAGAACATCCGATCGCGATTAAATAGGGAGTGAATCTGGACCATCCATCGCGATTTGATATGGGTCATCCGATCGCGTTTAAATATGAAGTGGATCTGGACCGTTCATCGCGTTTAAATCTGATCGTTCGATCGCATCTGGGAAGAGAACATATCTGAATCGTGCGAGAACGAATCTGGACCATCTGATCGCGAGCATGCAGATCACCCGCGTGACCTCCCACGTGGCACTGTGTCAATGTCCCTTATCACGCGGCGCGCTCTGGTTCGTCGGGTCTGCTAATTGATCGTCCTACGTGGCACAATTTTCTTAAATTGTGTTTCGACCCTCCAGTTTCGAATTTCTTTCAAAATATTTCAGACCCGAGTTTTACTCATTTTTTAAAATTATTTTCAATTTCATCCACCATTTAATTTTTTTTATTTTTATG